TTAGGTTAGACTTATTTTATCTGAGCAATTCCCACATGCTTTCAGAGTACATGAATTCACTATATGGCAAGAGGAGAGATTCAGAGGAAGGACTAGTGACATGGGATTTTCAGCATCAAGTTTTCAATAACATGAACTGTTTTAATGCAATTATATAGTATAACATCCAACTACACAGATTGAATCATTTAGCAAACCACATTTCATAGTGATATACTGTATATCAGATGAACTAGCCAACGTCAAAACGTATGTAACATGTAAAGAAAAGACTTAAAGACGTAAAAGTATCTCAAATTTGTACTTAATTACAGTACTTGAGTTAAAGCACTGCATTACATTCCACCACTGGTGACACATTGACACAAAGGCATATGCAAAGCACCCGGTAGATTCAAATGACTATAATTAGGATTATGACCAAATAATATATATATATATTACCGCCCCCCACACAGACACACGGGCATGGGCCTGCAATCTACAAGTGCATGACCATAAAGTAGATTTTTTGCGATGTTGGCATGTCCGTGGCGAGAGGACCATTGTCTCATAATCTGCCTATGGGTAAAATAAGGTCTACACTAGCCCAGATCCCAAATGATGAATGTGATTAGGAAAAACATCAATACCTTGAAGGTTTTTACCAAACATATAAGCAAAAAATCCCAAAACTTAAGTTCATCCAGGCTGGAGTCTCAAAAGGTCTCAGAAACTACACCTGAAAGAGGCTGGCACCAAACAGAGGTGAGAATTAAACTTTGTCCTAGAACAAAATTAAAGACATTTTTGGAAAGGCCTCGTCCTGGTGAGTAACATATGTCAGTTTGAAGATTTTAAGTGGCTCCTACTGTGAAATATTGACCTCTGAACCTTGACCTCAGTGCATATTGGAAGGCTTGTCATTCAGCAACAGAAGAGGCTACAGACATGGGACCAACTGTTTTAGAAAGCTCTTGACTTCAGCTATGTGACTATATTCATATAAATATAGTCACCAAGTGGGGGCACTGTCATGTATGATCAAAATGAATTTTCACCAATTTAACAATTGCATATTTACAATCTGATCACATAAATGTGTTTCCCACCCCTTTAAATCTATCACTGTACTGTTAATTTAATATTTACAATTTCCATTTTTAGGAAATGTACCATTAAAAACAAAAACTACAATTCCCTTGTGCCGCGCCATGCAGCTTGATACAAATAAGCACCATGTTTGTAGTTCTTCTGGTTTGCAAAGTATTGTTAAGAATAGGGTCGTAAAAAGATATATGTAATGAATATATCGAACATTAAGTGCAGCCGAATTAGTAATTACACTCCATCTATGTGATTAATTTTAAGAAAAAGTAAAGATGTTGGCTTATGTCAGATATACTAACTGTTATTCTATAAATGTGGATTTGGGTTAGCTAGTTCTTCCGGTTTTCAAAGTAGGGTTGTAAAATAGGGTCATAATATCAGACATCTATTGAATATATCAAACATTTAGGGCAGCCGAATCAGTAATTACACTTCTTGATATTTAAAAAAAGTAAATATGTTTATTTCACATAGTTTTACAGCCGCTTCATATATTTTTTCTGTTTTCTTTTTTGACTTCTTTTTTAATTTACATATATACATATTTTTCAATTCTCTTTACTGAAATACTGTTTCTTATGTTTTATGATTTAAAGTGCAAGCGACGAGAAGTGACGTCATTCACCACGTCTCGTTCGCGGTACTTGGTAACGCGGGTACTGTCCTCGTGCGGGAAACGGAGAGAAACACAGGTTTAGAAAATCTTTAGTAGAAGGAAGAGGCAGGTAAGAAACACAGTTTATGTTTTGAGTGTGTACCTACAAATGTAAACTATAAAACAATATAGTTTGTATATTTAGAGATGCAGCAATATTACTTTTGTGCTACACACAGGTATAACACATTAAAAACGTTTCAATGTAACATCAGTTTTGGTTAGCTAATGCATGCTATGTTATGCACATTATGCTGGTCAACGGTAAATTGGTGTGTGCTATCGAGATTGCTGGCTGTATTTAGACAGCCCTTGCAGTCAATTGTAACTTAGTTCTTTTTATGTGTCACACTCTTATTTGCTTTTCCATTCATCTTGCTCTCAAAGTCATGACGAAGCCCAAAGCAAGAAGCTGCCCCAATTGTGGAGCAAGCATCATGCCAATCGGAGGACCTGTGCCAGCTGCTATGTTTGCCTCCTGCAAAAAAAGTCATTCAAAGAAAAAGAAAAGGCAGTGAGTATTGACTTGGATGTGTTGTGTGTGCGCATCCATTGTATTCATTAAAGGTTGTTGAACATAATGCCGCCTCTTTATATGAGCCACCCCTAACCTTAAATTTAGCTAAAGATTCAAAATTAGTTGGCTCATTATTGACATATGGGCTTGTGGTCCAAATAGCATTTTTTTCTGATCAATAGCACATTTTTCACCAATGAGGAGAGAGCTAAGCCCGGTTCCAGAACCAAATGACTTCAGGTGCATCTCAAATTAGTGGTGGTACCCTAGTAGTTACAGTGCGAGCTGCCAACAGCTATTAAAGTAGAATAGTGTATGATGATCCAGAGTTGGGTCCCAGATAAACAGATTATGCTGAACACAGACGGAAAAAGTTGTAGACAGCAGTAAGTTAAACAGGGTGTCAGTCATTTTTAGCAACAGTTTGCTTTACGAGTCAGAAGGACACCCATACCCTCAAACTCCAGTCCTCAGATGAATCATGGCTAAATACTGTGACCAGTGCAGCGCAAACACATTTGTATATCATTAATTACTAAACTATGTGACCATGTATGAGGTGGGATACATTAGAATTCCAACTAAAACAGTCTTTGTCCGAAATAATCATATAATCAATCAGTTTATGTATTATTATATTAACTATTTATGGGAAAATCATACTTCATTTGTCATTGGCTGCAGATTCGTGGTGAGGTGTGTTCATGTTGTGACTGTCTGAACCATCCAGACATTTCCTGAGACGAAGATTTCTATAGCTGTTGCTATCATGTTTAACTGATTAGCTCAGTTGTTTCAGAGCTATGAGACCAGTGATGTGACAAGCTGGGAGAGTATTTATTAATCACCACACCCGCTGACCTTTATTAATCTTCATCCAACTCTTTTGCTGATTGAGCTGCTGGTGAGCATGAAGATGCTCACGCAGTCTATGTGCCAGACCACCTTATGCTTGGCATTAATATGCAATTTGAACTGAAAGTGCAAAATATTAAAATGAGGGTGCAATGCATGTGTTTGCATCTCCGAAGAACTAAACTAAAAAGAAATGGAGGGAAAACTTGTTTTGGCCATGTCTGTCTCCTGAGCTTTATGATATTTCAGACAGAAACTATAATAACAGAGACAGTGAACTCTCTGTTAACATAGCATTTGTTTCTCTCAATGCACAAGTGCTTCATCCCAGCGCTCCACAGAACCCTGTCCACACTTTTCTGTCAGAAAGAATGTAGTATTTTAAGTATTTTATTAAAATTGAGGCAAACATCTGTTTTTATGATTTATGCTTTGGGATGTGCTGTCATTGTGAGTAATATTTATATTTATATTTTTTCAGATTCTCAAAGGATGCAATTGCCAGAAGCTCCCAGCCCATCTCCAACTCCACAGTCTACCACCTCTCCCTCCCAACCCTCTTCTCCTCCTCATCCTCCAGACTCTTCCACCTTTCTCCCATCTACTTCTCATCCCCAAATGGACTATGAGGAGGAGACTTACACCCTAACCCTCGTCCCTGTCCAGCCTCCAAGCACCGCCTCAGCATCTCCCTCTCAAAAAATCATGACTGAAAGTGAGTGTTAGCATTAACCTTCTGCCATATTTTAAGTAATGTGTCTAAAGTCATCCATCTTTGTCACAGGTGTGTCTGCACAGTGCTCCCGCTCTTCCACACCTACTATCTCCTTGACCAGTGCAACAGGTGAAGGGAAGAAAAAGAGGAAGAGAGGTATTTTTTGTTTTTGTGGTACAGCCTACTCATCAAATTAAATGTGCAATGCAATTCCTTGATAGCAGCATGATAATATTGTTTGTGTGCATGTAGACACAATGAACCAGACACATGCAAAGAAGGATGCAAGACTTTTCGGAGAACAGTTTTTTCCCCTAATCCCTGTTATTAACAGTAACAATAAAAAAACATGAAGGTTTACTCACTAACTTGTCCTCATCTACAGGTAGAAGATAAATTATTCATGAGATAAAACAAAAACTAATGTGGACACATATGAGACAAGATGGACACTTTTTCTCTTCCTCTATGCGTCAGCATTGTACAGCTCAACTCTACTCTATTCACTTTTGGGTCCTCGACTTCCTTTTCCACTGTAGATAGTACCTTGGATGGGACCCCCTCAATGTAGGCAGAGGTGATTGTCAGAGCAATGAAGTTGGGAAACAAGCTTTACTTTGGTCTTGAGAAGCTGCAGCCTTTATTTATTGATAAACTCTAAGCTACACTGTACATTTACTGCCACATTGATAACACACTACGCACATAAAAAGCTACGCTACTCATAACAGAGGATATGAAGCTATGTTCTTGACAAGTCTGTACTTTGTCAACTGACCACAGCATGGTGTTGTGGGCTGCCATTTTTGAGTGAATAAAAAAAACTTAACTATTAATGATAGTTTGGCTTTTTAAAAATCTAGGCTTTGTGCAGGACGTCAACTGTCGTGTGACTAATCAGTGGTTTGCAGTAATGTCACACCACCTTTTAGTATCAGCTCAGCTAGCTTGGAACCTTGACCAAGGTGTACCAGGTTCTATCCACAATAAAAACCAAAGAACAGTAAATAGGTGAGATATCATGATCAAGAAGGTGGTTCTCCCAGGGCGAAGCTCAGCCATTGCTTCGGTTGTGCTGACCCCTGTGAATTCCTTAAATGTGGGAATCTTGACTTTGGAAATGCAGCTGTATTCACCTGGGGGATGTCAAAGTCTGTTTCTACATTTATTCTCCTTCTTTCTTCTTTTCTTTCTTTTTGCATCATTTTAGGCTGCTGAAAATGCAAAAAATATTTCACTACAATGAAGTAAAAGAAACAACTAAAGGAGGTAAGTAACTGACTGAGTGAAATAGCAGTTCATTTAGCAGTGGTTGCTGGAATGGCTAACACTTCTTTTTGTCTGTGTTTCTGTGTGTGTGTGTGCAGGGAAGAGAAGAGGTAAAAGTGAGCTGGCTGCCTTGTTCCTCATGGTAAGAGCTCAGAACTTTGATCCACATTAGTTGATTTTAAAGCTGTTAGCTTTTTTTATAGTATGCTTTATAAATATATATGTACTTACTTCCATACTGGTTAGTACCAGGCTTCTGAAAAACCGATCCTAAGTCATTTGTTGTTCTATGATACCCCATTGATATAAACTAATATTGTGGTATATGCAATGATCTTACACTTGTTTGCATTCATTCTTTTTTTTCAGTGGCAAAACTTGGGAAGACACCTGGGAGCCTGCCAGCAACTTTATAGGCTCCATTTAATGTTTTTGTTTCTGTGTCTTTAAGACACCTGTATGTTGAATGTTGCTCTCTCTCTCTCTCTCTCTCTCTCTCTCTGCATGAATAAAAATAAAGATTTGTTCATTTGTTTTATTTCAGTTCAGTTTGTTTGCCTTTTTCATTACATTTTGAATGTTTCTTTCACACACTCATCCACATCTCCTTTAATTTTAATATGCAAGTCATATATACAATGTTATATCATAAGCAATGAAAAAATATACATAGGGATGTGTAAAAACATCAGTATGTACAGAATCAATGGAGCAGGAGTATATGCAGTCAGTGTTTGAGTGAAGAAGACTAATAAATATGTCCATGAATATTTGTTCATGTATGAACAGTGTTGCAATTACTGTCCGTGATGTGCCATGATAATTAAACCTGAATACAACATTAGACACGTATTTCTGGAGATGTCTTATCGTCCACAAAATTTTTCTATGACAGAAAAAAAACGCATTATAATCTGCGCCAAGCGTTACACACTTCACCTTTCCAAAATGGGCGTGGTCTCCTTGCCCCTGATCTCCAAACTTCATTCAGGTGTTGTGAACGTCATGTAGATGGATGGAAGCAGATTGTGTTGTACCAGAGATGAATTCAAAAGGTGATTTAAGTTTTAGTTCAGTTGTTAGAGATCATATTTGATGAAACCAACAATTCAGCACCATAGACAGTTCAGCACTGTCAAATCTCGCGATAGTGTATTTCTGCTGGGAAAGAGACACATCTCGAACACTTCATTTTCTACTAATTTGTCTGAAAAACATAATTTCAGTGTCCAAATGTTCAGAAGTCATCATGTTCATAATCTGAGCTCACGTTCATTTCTCCCAATAGAGTCAACAGAATCAGGATGCTACAGGGCTCCTAAAGGGGAGTGGCAGTGACGTTAAATATGCATATTTCATATTTAATTATATTTAATGGCACTGGCAGTGGCTAAAGTAAACCAATGTGACACACATACAGGAAATTACTAAAACTGCTATGTCGTCCAATGGTTTGTATATTTGAATGTTTTTTCAATAATGATTTTAAGAAGAAATCTACAACAAACGCAGTGGAATAAAAATGAAACGCATTCATGATTGTGCTTATAAAATCCTGTGATTTGATGAATAAAATATGCATTTGTGACCCCACCCAGGTTACAATGCGGGCCGATACCCAGAATAGAATTATACCAGCCCTAGACACCAACCATCTGAGCGTTGACACAATTTTTTAAAGGGTTCAAGAAAAGCGGGAGACGTGCATTCAGCTCTCCAATAATATTTATTAAAAATAAATTATACTGGCAAAAGACCTGAAAAAGAAAAGAGAAACCATAAAACTAGTCAAAATTAGTTTATTCCACAATACTAAAATGGTCAAAACAACCAGTATATAAATAGCAAATGGCTTCACCATAACATAAAATACAATAAGATTAAATGATCGCGAGGAATAGGCAGGACAGGGTACTCACCGCGGGGAGACTCTATCACCCAATCGAAATCACCTTGTGTGCACACTGATCACTACAAACACTACAACTTGCACTGCAAGGAAAGTCAAACCTACAACCCAATGACGTGACCACTACCCTTCAAATATACCACACTGCATGCAAGGAGGGGGTGCCTATCCCACGACAACTCCCCGCAGGTCGTCCCACTGCCTAATCAAACAAAAGACAGAAAATACAGTGAGATTCAGTTGGTTCAGATTCACAGACATTCAGGGTCACTACACCCAATATAAAAAGTATTCAACCATCTACAGATTATGTAAGTTGTACAGTCTGTAACACATTCGCCAACCACCTTGGCGAACTGGCTCAGGCAAAGCAGCAGTCTGGCCTTAAATCTGCAATAAGGGGAAAGAAAACATAACAAAAGTTAGTCTCATCAGCTGACAACAACATACCTCAGAGGGCATGACCCTCCTACCTTACCATACTGGTTTCAGTTACCTTGTACATGTGGGGCTCTGCTAAGAAGCAATGCAACAGTTGAAAAGCTCTACTCTGGCTTAAAAGGGGAGATGGAGGAGCTGAGTCTTTGCCTAAAGAGATTTTATCATATTAGTGATATAGCTACGGTTTAATGAAGCCCCAAAGTTCACTGAGACATACCTCTTCAGCACAGGGCTACAGAGCATGCTCCATCTGGATCACTCAGGACAGTCACCACAACTAAATATACAAAAGATCTCATTAGATTTCTAATAAGGCAATATAATATTTTCCTCCTCCTCTCTCCCTTACCTGCACGACACAGCAATCCTGCCACACAACCAGGCCTCAGACAAAGAGGCACTAATTGCCCTCACCTGTCCTTATGAAGGCAGGGAGCTCCCTCTGACTCTACCTAACAGGGCGGTGCTTTGGATTTAGAGGCCAGCCCCTCACACATTGATCTATACAGAATATTAGATTATTGGCCGTTTGGGTTACATAAAACTCTCAGTTTACAGTTTCTAGCTAGTAGAATTTGTCTGTTGTCTGAGGACAAGTAAAATATTAGCAGAGGTTCAGTTATAAGTATATAATAGATAATAAACATGAAACGTTTCTCTTTTGGCTTTATTTTGACAGTGCCACGGTCTCATATCAGCTGGTCCTCCGGTCAGCCAAACACAAAGGTTCCGGATTTAAAATTAAATTACGAGCAAACTCTGAAATGTACGTTTTTTATATTTAAGATCGTGATTGAGCAGTTACATAAAATAACACCAATAACATTACAGGTCCGATGCAATTATTAAAACAATATTCACGTGTTTTAGCGATAAGACGCCCATAGCAACTGCATAGCAACCATAAACATAGAACAGACACCATAGAAGCCTGAAAAAACGAAACATCATAGGCATTCATTCAACAGAGATTATGGAAATAATGTACACATTTCCCGCTAGAAATGTTATCACAACGAATTCTAATGCCAAAAATATCTTAAAATGTTGTTTTTCCACTGAAAATTAAAGAAAATGCAGATATTTTGAATTTTTCCGCAGACAGAAATCTGACAGTCACGTGACTGCTCTGCTCGATAACACACCTTCTGTACCTGCTGGGCTTGAATAGTATTGGATCAGCCAGATGAATGGGTGATAACTCCCTCCTGCACCTATTAGGTAGAGTAGGCCCCTACTGGCCCATATCTGTGGGATGATTGTATCAGGATTACGCTTATTCAATGGTTGTATGTGAGTCATCTTTGTATCCTGGTTGTTACTTGGTTTATTTTGGGGGAACTTTTTATTTTCCTGCACTATGTAGTTTGTAGAATTAAGAGACATTTTACAGTTAGTTGTGACAGCGATGTGGTGCGCTCCTCTCTCCAACACTCTCTCGTGGACTCGTCCTCCAGCAGTACTCACACTGGGCATTATTAGTTGGGGGAGTGGCTTTGGAGAGAGGCCTGGAGATAGAGAGGATGGGTTTTTTCAGTTGGATACTTTCAAATTCCAGTCTTCAACAATACCTACCTGTGCTTTAATGATACAATGTGCATCATCGTCATCATCACAATATTATTATTGTCATCATATTTGATATCTGTGCTAAACCATAATCCACAATCATCAATAATAATCATCCATATTTCCTTTTTCTACAGCTTATTTTACCTGTTGAGTGTATCGCAGCATGTACTAGCAGAGAGGCAGGGACAGGTTTACAGAGTATGGCAGAGCTTCAAACACAACCATCTTTCTGTATTTTAAGGATTCACAAGTTACATTATGTTCAAATGGAAAATAGTTGCAGTCCCTCCTTTAGAACTGTAGAGGGCAGTCAAGGACCGACTGTGTTCTTAATGCTGAGCACAATGATGTTAATGTTAATGATAATATGGAACATAAATGTATAATAATGTCACATGTTGTAATGTTTTCATCCAAATCTGATGGCTTCCTTACCCTGTCAGAACATATGCAATTTAGGTAAAATGGCTATTCCAACTTTTCCATGTGTTATATGTGTGAATGTGTGTGTCTCTAAACTTGTTTCAGCCTTGTTCAGTGTGGGCTGAGAAAAGCTGAGACCATGAAGAATACAAGTGGTTTGGAAGATAGATACGATCCAAATCATGTGTTGCTTATACTGTCTGTATGTTACATACTGTATGCTCAGAATCTGGCACCAAATGTTGGATCCAGTCGTTTCCATTTATGGTCTGTGTCTTGTCCAACCAGCCTTGAAACCTCAATTAAAAACACATAAGAAGCAAACATTGGGCAAACACTCCTCTAATGGCTATCTTTATACAACCAACAAAAAGTATTCCCTCAGTAAGTAGATCAGATCCCTTCAGTCAATAAATATCACTGTTACCCTTTTTATTTTTTCAACACCATGAGGAGGAGTCAATGCAAATTTGGATTTCTTCCATCTTTATTATTTAGCTCACTGCAAACTGGAGACACAGCAAACCATCATCCAGACACACAACACACATTCACTATGACTTTAACAGCATGTATACTGTTTCTGATGGTATCACTGATTTCTGGTGAATACACAATTCTGCCCTCTTCTTTTTCTGTGTCAAGGTTTCTGTTTGGCTGTGTTCTGATCAAACTGCTGTTCTCTCCAGGTGTTTGCAGTCAGACTCTGACCGAGTCTGAACCAGTGGTGAAGAGGCCGGGAGAATCCCACAAACTGACCTGTACATATGCAGGAATATCAGATGACGATGCTGATATCGGCTGGATCAGACAAGCTGAAGAAAAAGGACTGGAGTGGGTTGCCTACATTTCTGCTCCGAGTGGAGGCACTAAAGCTTATTCCACATCAGTCCAGAATCGCTTCACCATCTCCAGAGACAACAATGTGGACCAGGTGTATCTGCAGATGAACAGCCTGACAACTGAAGACTCTGCTGTTTATTATTGTGCTCGAGAGCCACAGTGACACAGGAAGCCACAGAGCCGTACAGAAACCACTACAGACAGTCACTGATAGAAAATAAAACCACTTTGTACAAGTTGTTTTTAAAATAACCCCTAATTCAGAGTCATTGATCAATCTCCCCACACTGTGCTCATCAGGATGATCATCTCTTCTAGTGAGGCTGAGCAGAAATGTATCTGTAAGAACAATAACATTATCTTAGCCTTTCTTGACTCACTGTAGACTAGAGGTGTGAATTGTCACTGATCTCCCGCTTAGATTCGATTACGATTATCACATCAGCGATTCGATTCGATTCGATTCCTCGATGCATCACGATGCTTCAAATACATTTTTCTATTAAAGCCATATAAGATATTTGACTTGACGGAATGCATTAAGATACTGTATAGTTCAATATAATACAGTTTTCTATATTACCTCATATGGTTGTTTTCATCCAAAAATACAAGTAGTAAGATATAAACTATCTTTTTTATTTAACAGTCTGAACACAGCAGACAGCACACACACACACACACACTGAAAAAAAATATTTTTTGGCCCTGTAATTATTATTTCAATTATCTATATAAAGTCTACAAAGAAATACGAATTCAGTGCTTTTACTTTAAGATAGCAGTTTTTCATGTAGTGCAATACTTGGTGATTGTTTGTAATTATGTGCCCTCAGTTTTGTATGTAAATTGAATAGTAATATTCAATAAACCAGTTCATTGGCTTAATTAGTTGATCTTTTCAAGTAAAATGTAATTGAGTGACATCAGTGAATCTGGCAACCTTCTCTGCATTCGGAGCATGACGTCAAAGCCCCGCCCCACATTTGAGCGGTCTTTCGTCAGATACGTTACTATTACGTCCATGGTCAACATTTCAACTAGGTTGGCGGACTTTGTTGACTCAGACGGGGAAGAACGTGAATATGGAACCATGAAGGTAAGATTTAAGCGAAACAAACTTTGAGTCAGTTTCTCCGCACTGAAAGCAGCGGCGGCTGCAGCGCTAGCAAACAGTGTATTTTCCTGCTGACTAGCTAGCTAACCAACGTAAGTTAACTTTGCTGGCACGAGGTATGTCCTTTTCGTCTGGAAAGGCCCCAATACATGAGGTCGTGGTTTTATCAAAACTGGATGTGGTAAAGATGCTGCAGGCTCGAACGAGTGAATTTCATTGTTATATGATACGCGTTTTACAGAAAAAGGGAAAAGTTGAGCTTCCGGTGTGTCGGTTTAACTGGAGTTGAATTAACTGGTGATATTCCCGAGCATTGATGCAGATCTGTACACTAGAAATACTGACTGAATTGACTTCTTTTCATAATTTTAACCAACCAGAATGAAATCCTTAACATTGTAAACACTCCAGTTCTGATGTCTAATAAGATTAACGGAGTTACCTGGAGTTTAAATTCATTTTATTTGCGACGGCGATCTCCGGACGCTTGAAGAGAATGACACAGTAGGTGACTGTGTCGATGCCTGTTCCAAACACTGCAAATGTCAATAAATAATTAAAAAAATGTTCTTTCCGTCGTTTTACGAATCCTTATTAATCTGATGTCAAGTCTATTTGAGAAGAGTTTATACTGTCACACAGTGTGTAAGGAAACATACAGTCTGCAGTATATGTTTAACGCAGTGTGGAGTCAGCTGTGGCAAAGCGTGGTACGCCCAGATCAACTGGTGATAGCCTACATCATTTTACCATCGATCATGTCGCGTCTACACTTTTATCTCACCAATCACAATGATATTATACACATAACAGCACACTCTTTCATCCAAATTAGACAACTGTCAAATCTCATTTTGCAATAGGAAGAGAAATTGGATAATGTTAAAACTTTAATCAGTAGTGGGTCTACGGTATTCAAATCCGATTCACATGGGATTTTGAATAAATGGGACAGAGATTATAAATGGTGATAGAATTGTGGTATTATACATTGAAACAGTCAGTATATGTTTAATACCATCTTCAAGTAGAGTTGTGACAAACCATTATGAGCAGATTAACTTGTGATGCAATCTGTCTACCATTGATCACGTTTCATAATAAGGTTTACAGACTTTATCTTTTATTTATATTCTATACATGTCAGCAAAGTCTTTCAACCAAATTAGATATTGTTACCTATTTTGCAATAGGGGCAGAAGTTGGATGCCCAGCTGTACAAACTAAGATCAGAACAGAATCGGCTAGGTTTGGTTAACTACGCACAGGTGCATGTATGGGGGTTGGGGTGGTAGTCTGTATGAGTTTCATTCACATGTCAATTCTTTTTAGGTTTTTAAGTAAATTTGGACAGGGATCATCAAGCGATAATCTTGTCACAGTCACATTTGTAAATGCTGCACAATAGTAAAACCTGAAAGCATGTCAAATGTGATTAAATTGTGTCATTATATATGGTAACCATAAACCTTTACAACATATTTTAGAAATAATGTCTGTAATTTGGAATTGGAATTTCCCCATTGTGGGACAAATAAAGGAATATCTTATATCTTATCTTATCTTAATTTCTAACTTGCATTTAGACCCACCAAAATCAAATCATTAACATAAGGTACATGTCATGCCAATAAATCCTTTACAAAATGTTTTTGTTGTCTTCATACATTGATATTATACTGACGTCAAAATCTTTTCAGAACAGTTTATACTTTCATAAAGACTGTAAATATGTAAACCCATCTTGAAGTTAGCTGTGGCAAAGCATGATATGACCAGATTAACTTGTGATACAACAGCTGTTTTCATTGATCTTATTTCCTTTTAAAGTCTACAGACTTTTATTTCACTAATCACAATGATATTATGTACATGTCAGCAAACTCTTACTTACAAATCATTTCTTTCCTTCAGTCACAAATTGGTCAATTTAGCTGCTATGTAAGACTTGCATTGTATATTGAACTTGAGTTTGTCCACCATGATCACATGTGGGTACATTTGTTTTCTACACCAGAGCTGGTATGTTGCTTAAGTAGCCTAAGGATTTGATTTTGGTGGGTTTAAATTATTGACAATAACGCTATTGCTCAAACGATAACTCCGTTTAATCAGATTTACATGCATTTAGGTTTTATTGTGCAGTATTTACCAATTTTATAATTATGACTTTATTTTCAAATCCAGAGTTGTGACGTGCAGCACATGTAGACTAAACTGAATTTTGTAGACTATTGGGATGAGTGAGCGAAACGTCTAGATTTTAATATTAAACTCGATGGACGGTAAATAGTGTAGCATGAATGTGCACTCTGCCACAGCTGACAAAGTTCTCCACACTGCTTGGAGCGTAAACTCGGACTGATTAATTTATAGGCTGGATATAATTGCACACATTAAAAACAACTATGACACTAGACCGGTAACATGAGGATTTTGGACGTTTTATTGACGTTATCAGTGTTATGTCACATACATTGCCATTCCCTATAGTCCTCACTTTATACTCTTACAGATTTGAGAACCTGCTGGTTCCTGAGGAATACATAAATATTCATTATAGAGACGTTTTTTGTGAAGGTTTTTTTTTTTTTTTTCACAAGAGAAACTACGAGCATTGAGCTCATCATCTCAACCAGTCTCACTCAGGATAATATCACAGGTTAATCTAAACTCGAGCTACTCCGTTAATGTGGTTTTACAATAGTGCGAGCGTGGGGTTGCCTTTACAAACAATTACATTTTGGTGTGTTTAAATTATTTAAAATAGTTAGTGTTTCTAAGATGTATTGTAAAGCCATTGTATGATTACAATATATGATATCCAAAGAAGTCTTTCTTCGATGTAACGTTATACTCGGGAAGGACTCAGAACTGAAACAACGGTAGCGATCAGCAGCTGTTAATGTCACCATGACAGTGAATAATAGTTCTGTAGTGAGGAGCAGACACCAACATTATTGTTCCAGTAAAGAGTTTCTATTGCAGTGTTTTAAAAGTCACCAACAAATGAATGTCATAGAAGTAGTCAGAATCTTTATTTCCTGGTTCGGCAATAAGGGGTGTGTCGGTTTAACTGGAGTTGAATTAACTGGTGATACTGAGGCAGATGTGTGTAGGCGTGGCTTTTTAGGACCCCTTATTAAGAACATGTATCCATTGAAGCATGAAAAATGTGCTCAAACAAGTTAACACAGGACTTTTATATAGGGTAGAAAGATATCAACTCTCACAATATCCAGTGTACATGAGCAGCAGGAGTATTAAAGGCATACTGTGCAGTTTTCCGGTTTTGTCAAACAGCTACCCCTAGAGTCGCTGCGGAGTACTTGTATTTAACATTAACTGTCGTAAATACCACTCACCAGAGCCGTCTCTATATACGGATTTCAACTTGGAGGTTAATTGCTTCACCCAATTACTCCACCTAGTATCTTAAGAGTAAAAAACTAAATTCTGTTTCATTAAACTGTTTTAAACCAGAAATTCTAAATTAAGAGAATAAAAAGCAAACCACAAAAGTACATTCTTTTCATTTTTTATTTTAACTTGGGGCACAGGAAACATTTTTAAACCATATTATTTGTTCTTGATTGACCCTGGTGATATCATTATGGTTGAAAGCCCTCGCTCCCCGACTAACGTTACTAACGCGGGCGGGTCGGTAACGTTACTAACTGGCTAAGCCGACCTAGTCTAGTCTCGTCTAGCCGGGCGACATGAGTGCCTAGCAGCGGCAGGTCGGCTTAGCCACCACGAGCGGGTCTGTAACGTTAGTAACGTCAGTAACGTTACAGATAATTTAAAAAACACAGTCACTAATCATTAATACATGTCTGAATAGTGGATGTGCAAGTGCATGCAGAAATGTACAGTACAATGAAGAGTAAAACATTTATAACTGTGATTATAAACCACATAGTAATGACTATTTACAGCAGAATCATGCTTTATAAATGATGAATTCAGTATTTACTAATCCATAACTAATGTGCTTATCAATGATGACTAAAACATTTTTAACTGTGTTTATAAACTACATACTAATGTGTATTCATGCGTTATAAATGATGATTTCATTATTTATTCATGCTTAACTAATGCTTAATAGTGTGTACTCATTATAAAGTGTTACCCAATATGATTACTGATTACCTGTAAAAATTTAATCAGTAACCTAGTCAAAGTATCACAATATTAAAGTAACGCAACTTGATTCATTTCTGTTACTTTTGGATTACCTCACCAACAATGCAAATAAAGATCAATAAGACATATTGATGCAAGTGTATTCTATAAGTTGAGGATTTTCTTCCAAAAGACTTGACAATCAACTGGAAAAAGAATCAGCAGGAAGTGACTGACTTCTCTTATTGGGGCCCCAAATCAAATGTAAATCTATATTCAGCTGTCAGTGTCCTGAAGGTCAAGAACACAGACTGGGACAGTAATGATGTTTACACGTGTGTGGCGAAGCACAGAGGAAAACAATATAAAAAGATTGCCTCTAAAGGTACTTCTACAGTCATAACATAATACTGTTGTACTGTAACTCAGCTAGTAGTCATAGTTAGTGACATAAAGTATTACACTGTATTACTATTACCTGAGTTTTTACTCTTGACTGTTTCCAATAAATGTTGCATGGGGACCCTTGTGTTACATGTTCATGAATAACTTCAGTATTTTAAAGCAATCTGAAAAGCACAGAGTCACTGTATACTGTTCTCTTCCACTGTTCAACTGGAGAAATGTCCACACAAGACGTGTGATCAAAGAGTGAATAATGCTCGATTCCAGTTTATGAGCACTATTTAAAGGAGACAAACGTCTATCAGTTATCTTAATAAAAACCTGTGTTTACACACACACACACACACCTCTCATCTAACCACCTATACCTTCCTCTTCTTAGATTTTGATCCAGAGTCAGAACTGAGTTGTGCTCTGAGCTGCACAGATGAAGAGGATGAGTTCAGCAGTCTGTGGTCCACAGCCTCCTCCTTCATATTCCTCTTCATATCCTCTCTCTTCTATAACATGATATTCAGCCTGTTCAAGGTAAACATGCAGGCCTGTTCTGCATTTCAGTCATACTAAAACCTCTGTAGGATATAATACAGAATTTATATATTCACTGAAAATAAGTAAACAGTTTGATCAAATAAAGCTCAGTCGGGTAAACAATAAAAATCACAAACATAAAAGACAGTTTTATGCAGTAATACAAATGAATGCATCCATTTATAAAACCTGACAAAAGAGACAAAAACCAGAACAATCTAAACTGATTATCAGCAATATATCAACGGTTAATTGACACCAAATCATTATTTCTGACTGGTGTATTACTCTATGTGCCAATAACATCGTGATAAAGTAAAAATGTGACAACTGGGATATTTCAGCTTTATTGTGCTGATTTTGATAAACACAGTTTGACAGTAAAGTGACGTAAAATGCATCACTTCATTTCACTGCCTCTGTTCTGTTCATCATCTAGCAGCAGCAGAGTGAAGAGTGTCTCCAACCAGAGAAAATGTGCTGGTTTGTGTGTTTTTAAATGCTCCACGGCACATACATAGATATTAACAATTAATTGAATTAAACACATTACAGATAGCATCTTTATTTAACACATCAACAATAGTGAAGCTGTCCTGCATGAGGATGAAGCTTGTCATACTAATAAGTTTGTTTTGAAGTTCTTAAGAAATGTTATTAAAATGAACCAATCATCCAGCCCAACAGTTCATATAATTGTTATAGAACATCAGTGCAGTGAATCTGCTGGCCACAAGTATCGACTGTATAGAAGAGCTGGGGGAACTCCAGATTGAAGTGGTCAAGCAAACTGTGCAACTTTGACAAATTAATATAATATATTTAATTGATTTATGTTCTGTTTTTTTTTTTTCAGATGAAGAAATAATAAAGAAGGAGAGAGATGCACAGTGAGACAGACTGCATGACTTCGTCTGTTTTTTGTCTTTTTGTGTAGTTTTAAAAATGTGCAGAATCGATAATATACTGTAAATATTCCAAATCAAATGGTTCTCATGTAATGATTGACTGAGTCAGTGAAAATTGATTTCTCTGCAACCTGTAAAACTCAAAAATATAACTGTAATTCCTAATTGTTTAAATAAATGAATAAATATGTGCACTGTTGTTACATTATGTTTACAGAAGTTCTCAATTACTTTACACTTTAAGTTCCATTATCATGTGTTAGTGAAGTGTAGTATCAACTTTTAATTGATACATTTTACTGAAGTAGAAATAGATACATTCTGTCTGTGGTTATTCACATTGGTCATTTTGTTGATCCTATTTGCTTTTAATAGATATGATACAATAGATAAGATGTTTGTACAGCCTTTAAAAGTGAATATGAATATGAGTGATAGTGGACTTGTGACAAACATAAAGGGCTTTTGAGGATTTTGTTGTCGTTTGAGTCACAACTCTAGAACATCTAAAATAACACAACATCAAGTCAACATACCGTGAACTTCTGTTATCAGTTAAGCTCTGAAGGTTTTTCAATTTCCTGGCCTTTCTAAACATATCCTCTTTAGAGAGTCACTTCCCTCCTCTCTCTGCACCTCTGGGACCACACCTGTGGCAGTGAAACTTTGTAGAAACCATCAGATGAGCTACAAATAAACTTCCTCAAAGACTCATCTTTCACAGCATATATATTTGCATCTCAGCATGTATCCAGGCGTGAATTGGCTGACATACATACAGCAAACTCACATCTTCACAGACAGAAGCAACAAGCCTTCAGAATAGTGTCATCATAAGCATCTTGAACAGTGTGTCACTGACTGCCACTGCTTGACTAATGGGATATTATAAGAGGGTGCAAAGTCTACCAAGAACTTGTATGATGTTAGGTTGTGATTCTGGATTTTAAAATGAGGCTGCCACAGGGATTCTGTACATCCGTAGTGGGTCATCAAGGCGGCCAGGCATGTCACCGGTGAGCAGCTGGAAACCATTAAGGACATTTACCATAAACAGTAAGGTTTCAGCAGAGACTGGGCAGAGACACTGGCTGACTGCATCCAGCTTATATAGTCTTGCAACCAGACCAGGTGAGCTAAATCTTCCTGATGACCTGACTCCACCTGCCAGGCTCCTGGAGGAGTTCACTCACAGGGTCGTCACACAACAAACACCAAAGGAAAACTTATATAAGATACAGTATATTAAAACAGCAGTAAAATATTTAGTAAAAAGGCTGAATTATGCTTATATGTCACCATTATAGAGTCTTTCCAGAGTTCCTTTTACATTAGAAAGTGAAACTGTTTTACACTTTTATTCTTGGAATCAGGTATTTCTTCCTGGATCTCAGTGAACTCTATCATGTTGTTCAATCACTTCTGGTCCCTGTAAAAAAAGTAAAGATTAGGAAGATTGTTCCTGCAATCAGCATTTCAATAAACAGACGAAGAGACAATAACAAAACATTTCCTTAGTCTTTCTTAACTCACTGTAGACTGATGGCTGACAAACTGATCAAATTTAAAACAGATTTGTTTTTGATTTAAACATTCGTCATTGCTTTTATGTTTTATGTTTGTTATGAATTTGTATTCATCAACATTATAACAACATTATGTCATTGATTTTATCATATATTTTTTTTGCGTCTTTGAATCTCTTTTTCCCAGTTCAAAGGCTACAAAAATATTTACATAATACTGTTGTTCTTGTTAAAAGAATAGCTTAAAAATAACAATATAGCAGATTATGATGCCACAGTTTTATTATATATATATAATTATATACATTATTATAGTCTGAAATAAATTATGGTAACCACCATTTAGTGGGTTGGTGTTTCATCGGAGAAGTGGAATAATTAATAACTTTAAAAAATACATAAAAACAAAGATATACTTTTTGAACTATGAGTATGATGCAAAATGCAAATTTGCCAATTTATAACCTAAAACATATTTTGTTATGTTAGAATTTAAGTTTTGTATTATTCTTACCCACTGCTGACAGTACAGGTCCCCAGAGTCTCCAGTGGAGCATTTGGTTTTTGTATTAGGGTTTATCACTGTGATGGCTGGGGTGGTCACTGTGATCTAGATCCATACAAAAACCTAAGAGCTATAGTCTTACACACTGACATTCTTGTGATGGAAGAAAAGGACAGGACAAAATATTTCTAGTTCCAACTTGAAGTAACTACTGTGTTTATCTATTTTAATGAGCAAATTAGTCATTAAACATTAGTTAATTAGTAGTTAAAAGTCACAGTTAGCGCACAGATGTAAATGTTACCGTCAAGTAAATTTTAAATTTAATCATTGATTAAGAATCAATACAAAGCACAAGTTTACAGCAGGACACCAGGGTGTCATACTGACCAGGATTTCTGTGTATTTTCAAACACTTAATGAGGTTTTAACACCTTTTTGTGGTACATCAGGTTTTTGTTCAAGCAGTGAGTGGAGATGTAGCACTGTGATGCTTTCGACTACTGGGGTCGTGGGACTCAGGTCACAGTATCTTTAGGTAAGTCACTTTTAAACATCATATTTTTATTTTACTTTTTAAAATGTGATTTTTGTGATTATTGGCAAAGAAGTTTAACTGATGGTGTTATTCAGGTTTATACTGATGTTGGACAATAACTAGAAAACAGAGCCGACAGATGTTTTTAATGCAGCTGTTTCTTAGAAAGCCTTTGAAAAAAGAATTCTTTGTTATTATCACTTAATGCAGGAGGGGGTTTGTTTTTATCTTACATTTTATTCAGTTGGATTGTAATTGCTTCTGATGAATGTCTGCATCCTTATATTCACATAATTTACAAATAATAATTTATAACTGTGGATATTGATTATGTACCTTATTGTACCTGCATTTTTATATAGGAAGTCAATTAAAACATAGCAAATTACATTTTATTATTGTGTTTAAATACAGGTTCAGTATGCATTTTAATGAAACAACTGAACACTGAACAGGGACATAATTAAGTACACACTTTTATATCGTGTGTAGTTTCTTTTTAAAATACCACAGGAGAGAGTGTATTTTAAAGGACAGTATTTTCACTGTAGGTTCAATTGTTAATCATCTATTTTAGTTTTTGGAGGAATCGTTTCATACATAGTGATTTTTAATTCTTCCCAAAGACAATTTTATTTCTTTTATTTATAATATTATTTAACAATCAATTATTCCTTTATAAGTTAGGGGTGTCGTGATACACCAATATTGATAATAACCGTCACAATTAATTAATGAAATAATGATATCACCTTAATAATATATGTATGATGAATAATCCCGCGCCTCCTAAATGACTTCTATTTCTTTCCATTCTCTCTCTCTGATTTATACTCAGTGTAACTGTTATTTTTGTTCACTTTAGTAGATTTATGTCTACCTCCTCCCTACACTGGTTCTTTGAGTGTAATTTATTGGCCACAAAAAGAGACAAAACACACAAAAAAAGTTAAAGATGAATTTGAGTTGTAGCTTTTTTCTCTGATTCTCTATAGATATCATGATAATATCGTTATTATGTAAATAATTTTGGCTATGACAACTGTGTAGTTAAAATCTGATATGGCAACAGCTTCAATTGTTACAGTTAAAATATATCGGAAAGATTTTTAAGCTAAACTGTGTTTTGTTCCTTAAAAATGGTAAAGAATGATTTACGTTTCAGTTTGTAAACCGTTTAAATCCTCCTACAATGAGTGGTGTTTACAATTATGATTTTTTTAATCACAGTCTTCATCATTATTATTATTATTATTATTATTATTATTATTATTATTATTATTGTGAATATATTTGAAGTATTAGAAAGTCATAAATGTAAAAAAAAATGACATTTTCAAAAATGTGTAATGAACGTTAACATTCTGACATTTAATTCAACAAATCATTTGCTTTTAAATGAGAAACTGATCATCTAATGTGTGTCTGTATTAATGATGCAAAACTTAAACTAAAAATCTCCACTTTGAACGAAACTGCTCTGACTTTTGATCAGTGCAACTCCGCGAATCGAGATAAAATCACTGTTGATTTTATTGCACAAGACTTCCCACAGAGAACTTTTCTTTGGACCCATGCCAGAAAATGAAAAAGAAAGATTATATTTCACAAAAGTGCTCAGCACTAAATATTGAACTCAGATTCACAAACTCAGATCTATTCTTGCATCTGCTGTCTGGCTTGAGTGGCCCTTTTAACCCTGTAGTCACTAAACCTTGGCATCTTGCAGGGCCAGTGAGGCTTTAGGTAGCACCTGTGCAAGGAACAGCAGCATGCAACATCTGGCCGTCCTGTGGGTTACGTTGCAACCGTTGTTCTCTGTGTGAAAAGATTCTCTGTCCACCTCGAGCTCGCTCAAAATCAGGTGTTGATCAAGTAAAAACCAGAGTGATCATGCACACCTGTGACTTATATACCTGGCGTGCCAGTACTACTGGCGTGACTTAAATATTTATCCATGTCATCTGTTATATGTAATATGTAGCTGGGTGGAGAGATAGTCTCTTCACTCCGAGAACAGCAGTTATAATGTAACCTACAGGTAAGTGTATGGAGGGGAACTTGAAATTTCCATATTCAACTTATTAAAAAGTTAATGCCTTTAATGCTGTGTTTTGTTACACTATTGATTAACTCAGTTGACCTGGTTAAAAATGTTATGTTGAGTTGAATTTTGGTATATTTAATTCCACGTTTTTTTTTCCTTTCTTAGGCACTCCAATTAAACCAACTGTATTTCCTCTAATGCAATGTGGTTCGGGAGTGGAGACACAGTCACTCTTGGCTGTCTTGCCACCGGCTTCACACCCTCCTCACTGACCTATTCATGGATCAAAGGTGGGACTCCATTGACGGACTTCATTCAGTACCCTGCAGTACAGAAAAACAACGTTTATACAGGGGTCAGTCAAATCCGAGTGAGGAGACAGGACTGGGACGCAAGGCAGACTTTCCAATGTCTCGCAACACATGCAGCAGGAAATGCACAGGCTGATATCGTGAAGCCACGTAAGACTTATGATCAGTCATTTATAAATGGAGTTGATTTGAATATAGCATGTTTACACATTTTACATTTTTTAGACTAAATGTATTAAAGAAAAGCTAATGGTAATGATAACTGATGAATAATTCCATAA